TTGAGGAATCGGTCAATGTACATAGCTATTTCTGAGGCTTTACGTGTTTTGCAGGGGTAGACTTCGATGTATTTCGAGAAGTGGTCGATTAACACCAAGAGAATAGAATACTCACAACGATTGGGCCCAAGTGGCACGTCAATGTCTGTCGTGTCCATACTGACCCATTGGAAAGGGAGCTCGACTTCTGTTGGAACTATCGTATTTGGCCCACAGATAGAGGCATGATCGGCAGCACAGACTAGAACGTTGGCAACCACGTGCCTAACTTCGTCACGAATATTAGATCAGAACCTCCTTCGCCACGTGGTCCAGGAACACGGTCGTGCAGTAACCGAGAGGTCACGAGATTATCAATGGATCAACGGTCATCTGGAAAAGCGTAAAACAAACGGATCGAGATTATGGTTGACAGTTCCCCATCCTTTTCAGCGATATGACTGGACCAAATCCGCCCACGAGGAGCAGGCCGCTCACTTTTCTATACGTGTCGACGAAGCGGAAATACAAAACGACCTTCCAAGGACCCCGCGAAAGCTTTTAGGGTTCCGGAAAACTTCCGCGGCAAAGTTTTTCCTTTCCAGAAACCTGTAAGGTCCAAGTCGTAGCCTCGTTTGGACTCCATTTTTAACCCTGGCCCTGACTAGACTGCAGAAAGAGAGTTTAGAATGAATTTTTCAACCCTGACCGCACCCTATTTTGAAGTCGGCTGCCGCGTTCGGGTTTTCATGTATCTGTTCTACCTTACCTTCTCCTTCTCTTCCTCTTCTTCTTCTTCTTCTTCTTCTTCTTCTTCTTCTTCTTCTTCTTCTTCTTCTTCTTCTTCTTCTTCTTCTTCTTCTTCTTCTCCTCCTCCTCCAGGTGTGATATGTTGCGTAAAGTGGTTATTGTCGTGTATTCTTTCGCTGCATGTTGTTATCTTTGACAACTACTACTACTCTCTCCCCATGAAGCCCTGGGGGATAAAAATAAAAAGGGAAAACTACACGGGAGTCACAAAAATGAGTTATAATTGCACTATGGGCCAAGATACAGTTTCGAATTGGAATTGCAGTTCGGGCAATGTATACAAGCCAGCTTTCTGGCCATGTAGGCGATTGAAGTGCAATTGCAAACTGTAACTTGCCCCATACTGCAATTATAACTCGTTTTTGTGACTCTACTGAAGTTACAGAGAAAAGAGAAGAACGAAGCCCTGGGATATTCAAGGCCACTGCGGACCAGAGAAAGCTTCCCTGATCCACTGGCGGCATTGATTGCTTTTCTTTTTAATGTTTTTGATGGCGTTTTTTTTTGTTTTTTTTTTTGGTGGCGTTGGTTGCTTTCAAGGGAAGTCCCCTATTTTCCTTTCCAAGCATTAATCTGGCTGTGATAGCAGCTAGGTTCGTGCTCTCCTAAGGTCATTCCCCCGTATTGAACACACGGTCATTACCGCTGTATCTACACTGAAGTTGTCCCAAATGCAGCTACAATGACCATGCATTCTATTTGGGGCCTCGTCCCACTACGTCCGATTTACGCTTGTGCTCCACTGTTTTCGACCACGTGCGGCCGTCTGTGACATGCATGAGTCGTTGATCATTTCGTGTATCCATTGTTAGTGTGGATTGTCTTTGTTTTCGTGGATGCAGCTTCCTGTCGGCCAGTAGAGCTTTTTTCTTAATCATTTGTTGGCCATTTACTTGGCCACTTTGCGTTGGCGCGAAGCTTCAATACTACGGTTTTTTTAGGAGGGGACTTGTTTTTGAAGCTTCGCGCCTTGCTATTTTTTTTTCGCAGAAATTGAGAATATTGAGATTTCCGTGGAAGACTGCGAACAGGCCGGCGGGAAGGTCGCATGCAGATGTACCGGGTTGGTGGACGTGTTGAAGCATGGCGTTGGCCTTGTTTTCTTTGCATTTCTGAAAATAAAAAAAGGATTCTTTATATGTTTTTTTTTAAAGAACCGACTGCCACACACCGATTTACTCGATGCTAGTGGGTCCCGGCTCTTGGGGAAGATAGTAGCCGTGAACAACGTTTTTTTTTTTTTTTTTTTCCCCTTTAAAAAAGACTAACCTTATTGCATCCACATCTGATAAAAGGTTAACCGAGCCCCCATTTTTCGGCTCAATTTGTAAGAAAACCATAAGTCCATTTTAAACAAACTTCATTCCGATGTATAGAGTCCACTTCTTACTAACATATTATAAAAACAAAACAAAAAAACAAAAACCGTCATCAAATTTTCACAATTTTCACCACTCTTCACAACACAAATTCGAATACTCCAAATGACATCAAATTTGACACACAGAAAGCTTGTCCAAATTAATAAAAAAAAAGGCAAAAAAAAAATTTCAAAAAAAGCATAAACCCCCCCTAAATTCAGGATCATTCAGGATCATTCATGGTTACCTAGGGCCGAAAAGTGGGGGTCCCCGTTAACCGCCTGTGAGAAAAGGTTAACTGAGCCCCCATTTTTCGCCTCAATTTGTAAGAAAACCATAAGGCCATTTTAAAGTTTAAACAAACTTCATACCGATGTATAGAGTCCACTTTTTACTAACATATTATAAAAACAAAAGCACATGTGGGCGCGCTATTGAGTTTTTGTTAAAAGGAGACATGCCATGTATACCTATTGTAATGCATTCTTACTAATCTGAACTGCATCTTTTGGAAGTAACTTGGCCATTGCTTGCCAAATATATTTTATATTGTTTAAAATATACGCTATCCCTGTGAGGTTGTGGGTTCAAATCCGCAGACTTGCGCATGGACACCGGCAGGGCATTAGATTGACGCAGGGCTGGACACACAACCCCTTGGGATGACGCAGGTTAGCTATTACAGACACTGCTTGCGCACCACCCAAGGGGTAGCTCACTGTTGTTGTATGTCGGGACTGGGCGTTGGTAGGATATCCTGATGTTCTTGGTCTATGGGTGGTCACACGACTGTTGGGTGGTTTGTACAGTCTGGTTTACTCGAGCTCAGCAGAGCACAACTTCAGACTACTTCACGGTATATGTCAACAGGTTAGGTCACTTGCACTATTCACATGAGGTGCTGTGTTCGATACCAGAGTATGACTTAGGGCTGGTCATCCTCCTAGTACGTAGTCAAAGATTGAGGCTGGCATAGCAATTCCTTAGTACGGGATGTCGGGGGTGTATACTGCACTTTATCGCGGGGCCGGAACGGGCTCCAGGGATATACGAGGGAACGGAGGATTGTCTAGCTCTCACAGTTTATCATACAACACAGGGTTCTCCAGGGTCAATAGATACACCCCATGATCCACGACTTAGGGTTGGTTATCCTCCTACTAGGTAGCTTAAAGCTTGAGGCTGGCATAGCAGTTCCTTAGTACGGGATGTCAGGGGTGTCAGGAGATACTGCACCTTACCGCGGGGCCGGAACAGGCTCCAGGGATATACGAGGGAACAGAGGATCCCCAGGACCCCAGCTCTCTCTATCAACGATTCTCCAGGGTCCATACACGTAGTCCATGGTACAGTCCATGATTCACGACTTAGGGTTGGCTATCCTCCTAGTACGTAGCTTAGGGCTTGAGACTGGCATAGCAGTTCCTTAGTACGGGATGTCGGTGGTGTAGGAGATATTGCACCTTACCGCGGGGCCAGAACGGGCTCCAGAGATATACGATGGAACAGAGGATCCCCAGCTCTCTACCATCACTATCAACGATGCTCCAGGGTCAATACACACAGTCCATGATTCACGACTTAGGGTTGGCTATCCTCCCAGTACGTAGCTTAAAGCTTGAGGCTGGCATAGCAGTTCCTTAGTACAGGATGTCGGGGGTGTCAGGAGATACTGCACCTTACCGTGGGGCCGGAACGGGCTCCAGGGATATACGATGGAACAGAGGATTCCCACCTCTCTACCATCAATACAATAGAACAGTGCAATACACACATGACCCAGGGTTGGCAGGGTTGGCTATCCCCCTAGTACGTAGCATAGGGTTGAGGCTGGCATAGCAGTTCCTTAGTACGGGATGTCGGGGGTGTCAGGAAATATTGCACCTTACGGGCTCCAGGGATATACGAGGGAACGGAGGATCCCCAGCTCTCTGTCATCAAAAACACAATAGTAGTAATACAAAGTAACACTGTGCACCCTCATGAAGACCTGTAGTAGCATGTTCATACCTAGCTCCCGAAGGGCATCTGCTTCAACCAGGGCTGAGCAGGAGGGTAGGTCTCTCTGCCTAGCCCGGGTGCCTGCAACCGTTGTCTGGTCAGGTCAACCTGCCAATATGGCAATGGGTGATGGTCCGGGGTGGTTGGGGTTTTCCGTGGAATTCAGCTGGGGTGGGGGTGCGCCAGGGCAAAAATGATAAGAGGAAGGGTGGGTGGGGTTTTCCGTGGAATTCAGCTGGACAACAAAGTGACCGAGTGCTGTGGGTAACTATCATTGGTCTAGTATCCCACCTATACAACAACCTGAGCTTTATATAAAAAAAAAAAAAAAAAAAAAAATAGACGCTACCCTGCCACTCGATTTTTTATTTTTATTTTTTTGTATTGGAGCATTATTGTCCAACATGCATAGTTCCCAGAATCTGGTTCTCACCCCGACCATGTGCATCGTCGTGTTGTCCGTTTTGCCGTTCCGTGACAGGTTCCGTTGGTGGCCGGTTGACGAACGACAGGTCATGTCCACCTCAGCAMCCTGGCTATGGCAATTGGATGCATGCCAATTGGATAAGGTTCCCCCAACGTGGCTATGGTAATTCCTACGTCGATCATCTGATGGCTGCAATTTACCGAGATGCCGACTCAATTTACTGAGATGTCGACTGCTGCCGTGGCGGTCACTGTAACAGTTCCTGTAGCGTCATCATCGACTCAGGGTCGGTTAGCCGTAATATTCAGAAGTCATGCAAAAAGATTCGACCAGAAAGGATAAGGGTAGGGATAATTGATAATATTCCCTTCTCCCAGCCGGGATCAGCGGCGTCGAATAAGCGCTTTCGCAGGGAACTGAGGAAAGGAGGCTCAACTCGGATCTGCTGCCGACTGTCACCAGTCAAACGTTCACGGACTGGTTTATCTAAATGGCGTGCCCATCCCCCTCCTCCTCCTCCTCCTCCTCCTCCTCCTCACGATTCTTCTCCTCCATAGCTGTGATGATCCTTCTAGCAATGCTGGCTGCACTGATTCTATGTGCGGCAGTTGGGGGAGCTTCCGCGGGTCCTGGCTCCCAGGATTACCAGTTCCGGGACTCGTCCCAGTCCCACAGCCTGTGCGTACGATCTGCAGGGCTGGCAGGACGAAAGGTAATGTCATTCGACGCGCGCAGGGAGGAGGAGAGGGAGGAGGAGGAGGAGAGAGAGACGGAGGAGGAGAGGGAGAAGGAGGACGAGAAGGATGATGAATCAGATGATGAGGAGGAGGAGGGGAAGGAGAAGGGGGAAACGAAGAGGGAGGTGTTCGAGTCCGGTATTGACATTTTTCCGGAAGCCAAGGATGATAACCAGTCTGAGGGGAGGAGGACGGGTAGGAGGATAGAACAAGAAGAAGCAGCCGCTCAATACCCATGGCTTCAATTCCACAAATCGCTGCTCACTCTATATGGCAATATATTACCTGATAATACTTCGTATTATTACAGACGTTATATTCACGCTCTCATCCTCTCTAAGGATGGAAACACCATCTACTTCGCTCATGACAGGTTCAACAAAGATAGCCAGATCGCGAAAGCCATCCGATTGACTAATTCATCGTCTTCCCCGCCATCTCAATCTCCAGCATCACCTCAGAGGCAGTTGTACAACTTGTACAATGTGTCCAATATCCTCAACCAGGCCATCAATATCACAGGCAGCGGCGTATCCAATCGTGTCGCAGGCTTGGAGATCTTGGAAGATAATGTTACGCTACTCGTTGGATATCACCAGACAAAGGACGTCCGCCAACTATGGGTGGAGAATGGGACAGAGGAGGTGTTCATTACTGATACAGCAGCAGCTCAATTCGGCATGGGCAGGCATCCAAAGGAGCTGTGGCTATTTATGAGTTCACTTAATCAGATTCAGAGGATGCCTGTTGAACAAGGGGCTCCCATCGAGTCGATTATCACGCTAGCTGGGGCTACTGTGGACGGATATATCGATGGTATCGGAGCCGCTACTCGATTTGGAGCGCACAGCCCAAGGGTTGCCCCCCGATGCATCTCATCGGATGGCTCCTTCCTCTACGTTGGCGACCGGAGCAATTTTGTCGTGAGGCGAGTGAACGCCTACACAGGACAGACGCAAACTGTCAGTTTTGCTAACGGAACACCTGTTGCGATGCCCTTCGGTCCGTTAGCCGTCGTTTTAACTTCGGATAATTGCAACCTTTTCGCAACGGGATGGACAAACTACGGCAGGCCCACGGGACAGCCGTCAATGGTCCGATGGGTGGCCCTCGACGCGCCACATGGCAATGTCTCCTGGACGAAAGACGTTATCTTCTTCAATCACACCCCTCCATCCATCCTCGACAACGAGGAATGGACAGGGGTTAACGAGCCAGCCCGTCTGTTGCTCAGTCACAAGGACGCAGATTTGTACGTGGGAACAAGTAATGGGGAGATATTCCACTTTGCGGTTAACCGCAGCGCTCTGCACAAATGCGGGCCCAATGATCCTGCTAACCCTCCAGGGTTCGGTCCCCTTCCACGGTACATTCGCCCAACACCTCCCTCCTCGTCCTCTTCAGCACCACCACCTCCCTCCTCGTCCTTCCCTCCAGACCCACCACCTCCCTCCTCGTCCTTTCCTTCAGTACCACCACCTCCCTCCTCGTCCTTCCCTGCAGTACCACCACCTCCCTCCTCGTCCTCCCTCTCCTCCTCCTCCTCATCCGATCGAATGTCCATTCTCACGTTGATTGTCGTTTTGTGCGTCATAGCGGTCGCTCTCCTAGGGGTTTGCACGACTCTCTTCCTGTGGTGGACTAGAAGACTCTGCTTTCACTGGGAGAGGGACAGCGGCGGTGCAAATGCTGCCTCTGCAGCTCATCAGTCCAAGACGCAGCAGCGATGGCTACGTTCATGCATATTCTCTGGCCATCAAAATAGTACCCTCTCTGCGAAAGATAAAGCGAGCAGCGTTAATTCCAAAACCACCAGCTCCTTGACGATGACGACATCTCTCTCGCTCCTCCATAGCGATAGATTAGAGTTAGCGGTCATCTCGCAGAAGCTTGGCCATCTGGATGCCCCTCGGCGAGTCCCCTTCGTGGATCTCCGGGAGGCGACGGATGGCTTTAGTGATGCGCACAAGGTGGTGGGAGCAAGGGGCGGATTTGGCGACCTTTACCGGGCCACCTTGAGGGTAGGAGGTGAAACGGGGGAGATGGCTGACGTGGCGCTGAAGGTGATGAGGGGTGCCCTTGACGAACCGAAAAGCAAGCAGTTCCTCTCTGAAGTGACCACACTCAGCTGCGCTCGCCACGTCCATCTCTGCAAGCTTCTCGGCTACTGCGTGGAGGGCAACATGGTCATCCTTGTCTATCCCTTCATCTCGGGCGGCAGTTTGTATGACCGTCTTCACCCTTTTCCTCGGCCCGCTGCCCAGGGCCCCCTGCCTTGTGCTCCCTTCGGTTGGAGATCGCGACTGTCAGTTGCGCTCCATATCGGGACTGCATTAAGGTACCTCCACGAGGAGCTAGACCCCCCCCTCTTGCATCGGGACGTCAAGAGCAGCAATGTCCTCGTCGAGGGCTCTGGACAGCAGGTCAAGGCCTATCTGACCGACTTCGGCCTCGCTAGGCTTGGCAACCCCAGCGCAGGCTTGGAAAAGGCTCGGGAGACTGTGCAGACATCATTCCGAGCAGGCACGGTTGGGTACATGGCTCCTGAGTATGCCATTGAGCTGAAACTCACCGCCAAAAATGACGTGTATGGCTTCGGTGTGATTCTGCTGGAGATGGTTACTGGGAGGAGTGCCGTCTTCTGGCCGACTAGTTTCGATCAGCCCGAGACGGATGATCTATTTATGTATGATGTGACCCTCAGTGACAGCGAGACCGATTGCGGTCATGACGGTCACCCCATTATGCTCGTGAGTTGGGCCCGGAAGAAGTTCAAGAAAGTGCCACACTGGGACTATCAGCTGCTTAGCAAGATGGTGGACCCACAGCTTGTTCGGTCCTTCCAAGTCCGCGGAGGGAGCGAGTGGGAGAGGGAGACGCTGTGTGCGATTGCCAGGTTGGGCCAAGAGTGCACTTATCGCGATCCAAGTAAGAGGCCAATGATGGGTGTCGTTGTGGAGAGGACCAAGGCAATCGTACAAGAGGAGGGAACACCATAAGGGAAAGGGTGAAGGCACTGAAGGGAAGGAGGGGTGTTGTTGCCGAACGAGTAGAGAACAGTGAACAGTTACNTTGTTCGGTCCTTCCAAGTCCGCGGAGGGAGCGAGTGGGAGAGGGAGACGCTGTGTGCGATTGCCAGGTTGGGCCAAGAGTGCACTTATCGCGATGCAAGTAAGAGGCCAATTATGGGTGTCGTTGTGGAGAGGATCAAGGCAATCGTACAAGAGGAGGGAAGACCATAAGGGAAAGGGTGAAGGCACTGAAGGGAAGGAGGGGTGTTGTTGCCGAGCGAGTAGAGAACAGTGAACAGCTACACCAAGCCTTGGGGTGTTGCGGCTGAGCGACACGACACGTTTCTGCGTCGCCAACTTTTGGCTGATCAACATTCTTCTTCCTGATTCCCATGTATATATCAGCAGGTTGTGAGGGCCCGGGGGGGACCTACTAACTTACTTAGTTCAGGCAGATTCGGCAGAATATGGCCAGCGATGGAAGCCCAGTGCTTCCTCCTCTTTCTCCTTCTTCTTCTTCTGCTCTCCCTCCTTGTTTATCCTTCCTCGTTGTGTACTGTCCTTCTCCTGACAGTGTGTTATGCCCATCTGCTCCCCCTCCTGCTTTCCTCCCCCTCCCCCTCTTCCTCCTCCCCTCCTTCACCTCTCTTCTTCTTCTTCTTCTTCTTCTTCTTCTTCTTCTTCTTCTGCTTCTGCCTTGTCGTCTTCCTCTTCTTCTTGGGCTTCTTCTTCTTCTTCTTCTCCTCCTCCCTCGTTTCCCTCTCTCTTCCTTTTCCTGCCTTGTCGTCTTCCTCTTCGTTAGCAGAGCACCGGGAGCGGTGAGTGCCAGGTTGCCAGCAGCGTCTCTCTTTCCTCCTCCTCCTCTTCCCTTCTACATGACATTGTTCCTTTTCTCTGTGCCTGCTCGTTTACTTGCTGCCGTCTTCACCCGAATAGAACGCCCGGTCACTGTAGCCGTATTTGCTGCACGTTTCAGTCCAGATACAGCTATAATACCCGGGTGTTCTATTCGGGTGGAGACTGTATTCTGCTAGATGAGGTAGCAGTTTTGAGTGGCGGCTTTTGACTCTAAAGGTGGTCTGAACACATACACTGTCTCTCTGCAGCCCCTCCAACGACAGCTGCACTTCTTTTTTTCCTGTTTTTTTTTTGGGCATAAACCGTAGCTAGTTAATAGCCACCCCGATAGAACTGATATTAAGTGAACTGCAGTTACTGCACTGCCTGTAGTAGGGGTAATTGCGGCCAATGGAACCGATACCAGTGATAAGTTGACTGCAGTAACTGTGATGGCTGTAGTTGGCGCCAATGGAACTGATAAGTTAACTGCAGTAACTGTTAATGTGGTGGCCGTAGTTAGCAGCTACTAGCCGCCGATGGAGCTGGTAAGCTAACTGCATTTACTGCACTGGCGGCAATTAGCTACACTGGGGTGACTGCAGTTACTGCAATGGCTGCCAGTGGGTGGAGGGTTAGTTAATAGCCGCCGCCGGAGTTCTATAAATAGATCTCGAGAATGTTCTGCAGTCAGTCCTCCGAGGAAGACAGTCACTTACATTGTACTCACCTTAAGTTAGGACTTGCAACTTTGCGAGATGTATTAAGCTGCAATTACGGCGGGCCTTGCGTCACACAGGCTGGGTGTATCTGGCCACACAATCCAGTCCAGAGCTGAGTAGAAAACATCCTAGAGCGAGTATGCTCTTATATGGTAGAAGAGCTATAGATTGTCTAGTATGCGGCTTTGGAGTGTGATAGATAATTTCCTCTTGGGTATTGATGAATCATACCATTTTTAGAACCAAGTCTTAGAACATTGACTTTTTTTCCTTTTCTTTTTGTGTGTGCCTCATAGATGCTACCCTATGTGTACCCCTCGGCTGCGTCCGAGCCCACGCAGCCGAGTTTGCGCACGGCCACGCCAGGCCCGGGCAGGGGCGCGCACGGGAAAACGGCGCACGCGCACTGCCTGCGCACGTCGGCTGCTACGCCATAAAGCCCAAAAAAAAAAAAAAAAGTTAAATTTTGGGGAGGGGGTGATATACGCTACTTTGGGGGCCTAGGAAAAATGTAACACCCCCCAAATCGCGAATTTCAAGTTGTTGGGCGGGTCTATGTGATGCGCACCCCCGTTTTGGAAAAAAAAAAAATTTGGTGGGGGGCTGCGGGGGGGTGTGGGGGGAGTCAAAAATATGGTGTTGGGGGGTTGGGGATTGGGGGTTGGGGGGTTGGGGGGTTGGGGGTTGGGGGTTGGGGCCGCGCGGCACACACACACACAATCAATCAATCAATCAATCAATCAAACCAACCAAGATTCTATTGAGTCGATATGATCTTGATTGGTTTGATTGATAGATTGATTCATTGATTGATCGATTCTCTCTCTCTCTGTGTCTCTCTCTGTGTCTCTCTCTCTCTCTCTCTCTCTCACACACACACACACACACACACCCACACACACACACACACACACACACACACACACACACACACAGACAATCAATCAATCAGTCAAATCGATCAATCAATCAATCAGTCAAAATCGAGATTGGACTATATTGTGGTTGTTTCAACACTTCTGTTAGTCTCGCGCCACGGTTTAATAAATATTGAGTGGC